CTGATGGGTGCTGATGGGTGCTGATGGGTGCTGATGGGTGCTGATGGGTGCTGATGGTTGCTGGTGGGTGCTGATGGGTGCTGATGGGTGCTGATGGGTGCTGATGGGTGCTGATGGGTGCTGATGGGTGCTGATGGGTGCTGATGGGTGCTGATGGGTGCTGATGGGTGCTGATGGGTGCTGATGGGTGCTGATGGGTGCTGATGGGTGCTGATGGTTGCTGGTGGTTGCTGATGGGTGCTGATGGGTGCTGATGGGTGCTGATGGGTGCTGATGGGTGCTGATGGGTGCTGATGGGTGCTGATGGGTGCTGATGGGTGCTGATGGGTGCTGATGGGTGCTGATGGGTGCTGATGGGTGCTGATGGGTGCTGATGGGTGCTGATGGGTGCTGATGGGTGCTGATGGGTGCTGATGGGTGCTGATGGGTGCTGATGGGTGCTGATGGGTGCTGATGGGTGCTGATGGGTGCTGATGGGTGCTGATGGGTGCTGATGGGTGCTGATGGGTGCTGATGGGTGCTGATGGGTGCTGATGGGTGCTGATGGGTGCTGGTGGGTGCTGGTGGGTGCTGATGGGTGGTGGGTGCTGATGGGTGCTGATGGGTGCTGATGGGTGCTGATGGGTGCTGATGGGTGCTGATGGGTGCTGATGGGTGCTGATGGGTGCTGATGGGTGCTGATGGGTGCTGATGGGTGCTGATGGGTGCTGATGGGTGCTGATGGGTGCTGATGGGTGCTGATGGGTGCTGGTGGTTGCTGGTGGTTGCTGATGGGTGCTGATGGGTGCTGATGGGTGCTGATGGGTGCTGATGGGTGCTGATGGGTGCTGATGGTTGCTGGTGGTTGCTGATGGGTGCTGATGGGTGCTGATGGGTGCTGATGGGTGCTGATGGGTGCTGATGGGTGCTGATGGGTGCTGATGGGTGCTGATGGGTGCTGATGGGTGCTGATGGGTGCTGATGGGTGCTGATGGGTGCTGATGGGTGCTGATGGGTGCTGATGGGTGCTGATGGGTGCTGGTGTGTGCTGATGGGTGCTGATGGGTGCTGATGGGTGCTGATGGGTGCTGATGGGTGCTGATGGGTGCTGATGGGTGCTGATGGGTGCTGATGGGTGCTGATGGGTGCTGATGGGTGCTGGTGGGTGCTGGTGGGTGGTGATGGGTGGTGATGGGTGGTGATGGGTGGTGATGGGTGCAGGTAGGTGCTCCTGATAGTTCCGCATGGGTGCTGTGAGTGTTTGTAAAGGGCAGTCGACGAGTGAGTTGTGACAGTCCTAGTGCTTGCCCAGTTGCTTCCCTGACCTTTCTTCATCCCCATGTGCCCCCTTGCCCCTCCTTTTCTCCTCTACCTTACTTGCCCTTGCCTCGCCTCCGCTCTGCTCTGCTCTGCTCTGCTCTGCTGTGCTATGCTATGCCTTATGCTGACCCTTGCTCTGCTGTGTGCTGCTCCTTTATGGCTGTGTGGCAGGCGGAGAGGCAGAGGAGGGACGAGGAGGAGAGGAGGCTGCAGCAGCAGGAGGAAGAGATCAAGCGCCGCATGGTGGGAGGGGGGGGGGGGGGTGGGTTGAGGCGCCTCAAAAGAGGGAGGAGAGTGGGTGGTGGGCTGGCGGCTGTGGGGGAAGTGTTGTGTGGGGGGGTGGTGGGGGGGGTTGGGTGGTGGGTAGGGAGTGGCGGATCTGGTGTTCGATGTGCAAGGATTCATGTCTAAGTTGGAATATACGCTTGGGTTTGTAAGCGTACTGCGTTTGTACGCTAGCGTATACACGCAAAAACGCAAAACGCTAGATGTACGCTTCGATATATTGCGGGCAGCCCGGGCGAAAAAAAAAAAAGTTGCAAATTTCGAGTTCGCGATTCGCACAACATTGTTCGCACGTCGCGGACACCAATGAACTCCCAAATTTCAAAATTTGAAAGCTACACATGTTCCTACCGCATTCAACCCCAGCTTATCTCTCTCACTTCCAACCCATCATTCCACCAGCAAAGCTGCTCACGGCTATAGAAGGTGAGCTTTCTCCACCCAATTTTCATTCGCTATTTTTCTACTCCACTTTCAGCGCTTTCTACCTCCAGCTCTCAGAGTTTTCTAGCCACAGCTACCATGTCTACTCCAACTTCCACTCCCGCGAGTGGCACCGCTGGTGCGGATGCAAGCGCCGAGGCCTCCACCGCGCAGGAGTTTCAGCCCGATACCAACCACGTGGTGTTCAAGCACTTTCACGTCCCCATCCGCGAGGGCGTGAAGGGCATTCCGCGCATTTGCAAGCATTGCAAGCTGGAGTTCGTCGGCGGAGCCTACCGCTGCGCGCAGCACATCGTCACCTGGAAGGGCATGCGTCGCCGCGAGGTGCGCCTCTGCAATGCTGCTCCTTCAACGGCCCGCAACGAAATCCGTGCTCTTTACGAGAAGAAGCATTCCTCTCGCGACTTCAAGCGGCAAGCGGAGGAGTTCGCCCTGGAGGCTGTTTCTGGACGCGCGAAACAAGCCCGCATCTGCGACACCTATGGCGACGCGGCTGCTTGCGCGAAGACAGATGCGGACGACGCCATCTGCCTTTTGTGGGCCGGCCTGCGCCTCCCGGAGCACCACGCGGACCACGTTTTGTGGCGGAACGCTGTCCGTTGCATCAACAACGCGCCAAAAGGTTACGTTCCCCCTCGTCGCCGCTACGTCGGAGGTGCGGGATTGCAGAAGACCCGCAAGAGGATTGAGCAAGGCAATTCCCCGATCGTCGCCAGCTGGAAGCGTGACGGTGTCACGCTCTCGTCCGACATCATGACCGACAAGAATGGCCGCCCCCAGGCCAACGTCTTGCTCATCAACGACTACGGCGCGGTCTTCACCGAGAGCGTCGATTGCAAGCTGGAGCAGAAGACGGGGTCCTACATCGCCAGCGTCCTCCGCCCCATTGTGAAGAAAGTCGGCCCCGAGCACGTGGTGTCTCTCTGCGTGGACGGCGGGAGCAATTACGCAAGCGCCTTCAAGGAGTTGGCGCTTGAGTGGCCCCACATTGAGTTCGTGCCGTGCGCGACGCACGTCATGGACCTGCTCATGGAGGATGTGGGGCGGATGGATTGGGCAAAGAACGTCGTGGAGCGGGCCAACGAGATCATCACCTACGTGCGCAGCCATCACTTCACCCGTGGGTACCTGAGGAGCCCGCAAGTGCAGGGGGGAAAAGGGAAGCAAGTGCTGAAGCCGGCGGGCACAAGGTTTGGCACGCAGTTTATTGCTGTTTCTCGGCTTTGTGAGGTGCGGGTCTCTCTCGTGCAGATGGTTCTGAGCGAGGATTGGGTGGAGTTTGCGAAAACAAGGAAAGAAGGCGCCGCCAGCTTCAAGTCCAACATCATGGATGACCCGTGGTGGAAGAAGGCTCCTTACTTCAGCGCATTGTTGAAGCTGCCGTTCGTCGTGATGCGCGCCACCGACTCAACCAAGAAAGGCATGATGGGGCGCATCTACGACATGATGCTTCAACTCACTGAAGATGTGAACGCCAAGCTTGAAGAGGCGGACGAGGTGCTGACCCGGGCTGACAAGACGGAGATTACCAAGATCGTGGGCCGCCGCTGGGATGGGAGCATGGCATGTGCCATGCATGTTGTGGGGCGGATCCTGAACCCCCTCAACCAAGAGGAAGGTATCTTCCGCAGCGACTTGGAGTGCACCCGCATCTTCAAGTCTTACATCAACCGCCACTACGACGGCATCACCATCACGCGGAAGGATGGTGAGGAGCGCCGGGCCGCCCATGTCCTGCAGGAGGGGCTGGAGGCATTCATGACGCTTCAGGGAAGTTTCGGCCTGCCTGAGGCGATTTCTGACCGTGAGCTCGTCAAGGCAGGGAAGAAGACCATGGTCCAGTGGTGGACCTGGCACGGCACCGACAACCCAGAGCTGACTGCCCTGGCTTGCCGGGTCCTCTCCCAGCCCGTTTCCGCCGCTGCATGCGAGCGGAATTGGGCTATGTGGGACGCTGTCCACACCGCACGGCGCAACAGGTTGGGGTCTGAAAAATGCCGCGACCTAGTGTTTGTTGCGCACAATTGGAACATTGTGCACAACTGGCACAAGGCCGAGGAGGGGATGGGGACATTGCCGGGGAACATTCCGGAGCCTCCCATCCCTGAGGGGTACAAGGAAGATCGGGAGGAGGAGGTGGAGGAGGGGGAGGATGACGTGATGCAGGATGAGTATGTTGAGTAGAAAGGGGCGTGGGCAGCAGAGAGGTAAGGAGTACGAGTGGGATAGTATAAGGCTGGATTTGCAAAGGATGAGGGAGGGAAGGGAGGGGGTATGATGGGGAGACGGTAGTTGCTCTTTGTGGGAGTAGTTGGGCATTGAAGGGGGTGCAGGCCACCTGGAATTTGCTATGTATTTGCATGTTATTTAATGGGAAAAAAAATCTGGGGAGGGAAGAGGTATGGGTGATAAGTGCCCCCTCCCCCTCCCCTCTCCAGAACCTTTTTTTTACCCTGCCCGGGAAAGTTTTTCCCCTGCCCGGACCACCGTATTTCCAGCGTATATCAAAGCCTTCTCTGGACATATTGCGTACTATACTCTAGCGTATACACGCGTGCGTACAAAACTCAAAACGCGTATATTCCAACTTAGATTCATGTGTGGACTGCGCATATCCTCTTCCCTTGAAAGGCTTTGTCTTTGCTCGCCCTCTGCTCTCGTCTGGCTGACCAACTGATGCTGCCAGCCTCCTTCTTTCCCTGCCTTGTGCCACACAACCCCGCCAGGCCCAACCATGCCACACCTCTGCTTCTCCCTATCTTGCTGCCTCTCTTGCTCCCTCTCTTTCTGCCTCTCTTGCTCCCTCTCTTGCTCTTGCTCTCTCTCTTGCTCCCTCTCTTGCTCTTGCTCTCTCTGTTGCTGCCTCTCTTACTCCCTAATCTTGCTGCCTCTCTTACTCCCTAATCTTGCTGCCTCTCTTACTCCCTAATCTCGCTGCCTCTTCCACTGCCTCGGTGTTGCCACTGCAGGATATGTGGAAGCGCAACGAGAGGCCCAAGGCAGTGGAGGACGAGGAGGACGGGGGCGATGATGAGGGCAGGGGGGCAGGGAGGAGCCGCAAAGACCGCGACAAGGAGAGGCGCCGGGAGAAGAAACGGGAGAAGCACAGAGACAGGGAGCGGGATAGGGAGAGGTCGAGAGAAAGGGAGGAGGATGGGGAGAGGAGGGAGAGGAGGAAGGATAAGAAGCGGAAGAAGAAGAAGAAGCATCGCGAGGGGAGGGACAGGAGCAGGAGCAGGAGCAGGAGCGACAGGGACGAGGGGGGTGAGAGGGACGGGAGAGACGAAAGGGACGAGAGGCATGAGGATGAGAACCCGTGGGGGTCCGATGGGGAAAGAGGAGGTGGAGGGGAGGGGTCTGGCGATGAGGGGGGGAGTCCGAGGGGGGAGAGGAAGGGGAGAGGTGGAGGGGGCGATGGGGAGGAGGAGGAGGATGCACTGGCTGCAGCTGGGCTGGTGGATGAGGAGGAGGAGGGAGGGGATGCGCAGGGGGATGGCAACGAACAGGTGGGTGTGGCTCCGTTTGTCCTTTGCGCATAGTCCGCCTGTCCCCTGCTTCTTCCGTGCTCCCTTGGTCCTCTCGTGTCAGTCCCGCTTGTTTATGTTTCATCCTTCAATGTTTTTTACCGCACATGTCCGTGTCCCTCCTGGCATGGCAGGGAGCGCCCGCGCGCAAGCGGCGCCGGCAGCTGGCAGATTCGGATGAGGAAGACGCCGGTGGCGGTGCTGAAAGGGAGGCACATGAGGTGGGGAGTGCGCCTGATGGTGGGGAGGAGGCACCCCCGCCGCCATCCGGCGCAGACGAGGCAGAGGGCATGCAGGAAGGGTGAGGAAGAGGCAGGTGGTGGCCCTGACAGCAAGGCGCATGAGGGGAGGAGGGACTTACAACCCCACCCTACTCACACAAGGCAGAGGGTATGTAGGAAGGGTGAGGAGGCTGGAATCACGGGTGAGGAGGAGGCCATGTCACGCTAGCACCTCCCGTTTGGTGTACAGCAGTTTTTCCGCAATGTTGTGCAGAAGTTTTCATACATACAAGACCTAATGTAGTACCGGTAAGTACATTACTTCAAGCAACACTTGTGTGTTTCCATGTGACAAATATCCGGAATTTGGTTTGCCTCGCATGTACCTATGTGAAACTTGGGATGGGAGCTCAAACATTTGTTGGAAGGCATTCTCTATCATTCATCAGATAGATATTGATCACGTGTAGTGAATGAGAGATAATATCAGTTCCAGTACAAACATGCTTCGGCAATTTCTTTGGTGTGTTGCGCAAAACAACACATCACCCATTCAGATGAAAGCTGCGTTGACCGTTCGATCAACACGGTATACACCAACCATCATGGTGTTGTGAGCCATGGCGCGTTTACTACTGCCCTGTTTGGCAGGCGCATGAGCACAGGCTTGGAAATGGGCTACACTTGCATGACCAATCGGGGTACTTCCGAGCTAAGCGGTTGATCGGCTATCAAGCCCCGGGATAGGCGCATGAGCACCTAAGCAAAATGATTTTGAGTGACTGCCGAATGGTGTTTTTTGTCACAGGTTTGGGAATCGATATTGGTTCCTGGAACCATCCTCCCCTGGCAAACCGACGCACCACTCATGCGCGCATGGTGCGTCGTGGAGAGGTAGCATCCATGCGCGCATGAGTGATGCGGGGCAGCATTGAAGATTGTATAGGTTGCTCATTGGTAGGCAGTCAGGGAAGATGGTTCGATATTGGTTATTGTAATTTTCTATCCCTGACCAGCGATCAGGGCAGCCCAGACCAATTTCCTTCACCGAGCCTGCGACTGTTCCCCGCATGAAGTCACTGTACACGAAACCCAGACTTAACAATTTGGTACGTTACACCATCCCGAACCAGTGCTCATTCCCGAGCCTACTTGCTCATGCGCCTGCCAAACAGGGCCTACATGACATCATAGCGTTTGTGTCAGAAGCATGTGCTTCTGACAGACGATTCCCGCGCAAACGGCGGAGCCGCGGAACCGCCGTGCTGCGGAGAGCCCGAGGATTTTCTCGCAGAACTCAACTCAAAACTTCGCGAGTCGAATATTCCCCCAACGAAGTGGGTATCCCCATCATCAACGCTCTCACGAAAATGCCACCGTCTGCCGACGGTACGGCGGCCTCCACCTGAGCAGGGGAAACAGATCCTCCTCATTACTGAGAATCCCTCTTCACCACTCTGAATCCGTCTAGATCCTAAATTTCACCACTGAATTAGGAGTTTTCACCGATGGTTGTCTTCCTCTCTTCCTGATCTCTGTTCAGCTTTCCTGAATGCCATTCCTTGTCACAATAGCTCTTCCATAGACTCCTTGAGAATAAGCTCGCTTTGCCGAAGTCCATGGCTGCCGCCAGTTTGTTACCAACCGTTAATGGTTCTCGTCTCGGCCGTATTCTTAGTCCTCGTAATCATCATATATGTTGATCTCAAAGTCGTCAAGACGGAGATCGTCAAGACGGAGATCACCAATTGTTGCATTCCATGGCTCCCGACGCGAATCAGTAATATTCGTCGTCAAGAAATGGACCGAGCTTTGCGTCTGATGTAGTCGTGTCGGAGATCTTAGCTTAGACGTTAGTCAGTCGGAGCAGTTTCATTACCGTCATCCACCCATTACTCGCACTTGACTGCAATTCTGATTTCTATTTCAGTCAACTTAGTTCGAGTATTCTAGACATCTGACGAGCGCGGAACAGAGATGGTTTGCCGATATTCTCTATAAATCTTCTTCCGATATCCATACGCTTCTTCAAGTAGCGAGGCGTCGCCGCTCTCCGACAGCAAGAATGGTTCGATTTGGTGACGACCGAGGTTGATATCGTGCCGGCAGCAGCTGTCCGAATGAGCTTACGAGGTTAGCAATGAGCATCTCGGACGTCGAATAGCGAGACGTCGCCATGCAACGGTGGTGACTGAGGCGTTGCGTTTTGACGGTGGCGAACGACACGGCCACTTCCAACGGTGATAGCTGAGACGGTCAAGTCACGACCGCTTCTGACGGTGACGAAAAGTACGATTAGTGCCGACTCTGACGACGGAACCGACGATTTCTGACGGACGATCATGAGTACGATTACCGACGGTGACGACCGAACCGACGATATCTAGCAGTAACTATTGAAGTGACACTTTCCCACGGTGACGATTGGAGCGACGCTTTCCGAGGGTGACGACCAGGCTTGCGATTTCTCATAGTGACTATCAAAGCGATGCTTCTTCGACGGTGACGATTACAGTGACATTTTCCGACGATGACGATCAGGATTGCGAACGTTGACGATCTAAGTGACGCTTCCTGACGGCGACGACGGAGATGGTGACTTCTGACGGTGACGATCAACAGTGCGGCTTCTCACGGACCAAGACTGCGAGTGTTGCTGCTGACATTTTACAAAGCGACGTGCGGAAAGCCACGTGCGAAAATCGACTTGCGGAAAGCGATGAGCGGAAAGCGACGTGCGGAAAGCGACGTGCGGAAAGCGACGTGCGGAAAGCCACGTGCGGAAAGCGAAGTGCGGAAAGCGACGAGCACCACTCTGTTGTGTTGCTGCATCCCGCATTTCACGTCCCAAGCAAACGTGCTCCTGTGAGGTGCATGGCGGCGGTGGGTCAGGGCGCATTGGCAGCTGAGCTCATGTAGAGTCCAGAGAGAGAGAGAGAGAGGAGAGTAGAGTGGGTGTAGCATAGAGTAGCAGTGCATTCATGCCATGCGCGCGTCCCTCTCTTCCCCAGTCCCCCCTCGCTGCCTTAGCTCGCTGCCGTGCTGCTTTTGGTCCACCGTCTCCATGCGCCTTTCCATCCCACCCCTCCCCAACCACTCACTTGTCGTCCCGCTCTGCTCACCATTCACTGCATACATGCTTGCCGTTTTTCCCTTGTGCCACTTGCGTGCCTCCTGCTTATCACTTGCTTCTCACCTCAACTCTGCTCCGTTAACGCGTTTCCCTGTTCTCCTCTCTTCCTGCCTGCACCCCTCTACCAGCGCACCTACAGGGCGGCAGGGCAGCAGCAGGGGACAGGGAGGAGCAGTGGGAGCAGCGTGGTGAGCGGGAGAGGCGAGCGGTGGGATGACGCACGGCCTGGGCTGGCCCTGCTGACCACTGCTGCCGAGCTGCTGGACTACTGCAGGGAGGGCGGCTGCAGGGAGGGCTGCTGCAGGGAGGGCTGCTGCTGGCAACTTCTGAATCCCGCTAAGTTCCCTCCTCAACCCTTGCCATCCTTACCGCCGCTTTACCTTGTAATTCGTGTTCACATTTGCCCAGCCTCTCTTTTCAAGCATGCTTCGAACCAAAACGCCGCCTTCGCATGAAGGTATTAAAAACGTTCGCGTGGCGATGGTAGCACATGGCACTGGGGCGGCTTGAGCTCACACTAGAGTCCTAGAGGGTTAGAATGCACTCACACTCACGCCCGCGTCTCGTCCCCCTTGCCTGCTAGCTCGCCAACCTAGTGCCATGAGCTACCATCGCCTACCCTTTCACTGTGCCACCTGTTGTTTAACTTCCAGCTTTTACTCTCACAGTATATTGCCTCCGTTTTGTTTCAATCATGCCCATGCTTTTATTCGACTAACTTCTTCAATTCCTTCCCCCCTTCTGCCTTCTCTCCTCTCTCCCACTCGCTCCCTTCCCTTTCCTAAGCTTTCCCCCTCTCGCACAGGGCTGTGGCAGCGTGGTGCGGGGAGGGAGGGCGGTGGGATGACGCACGGCAGGCAGTCACAGCGGCGTGCGCTGTCGGCGTCCCTTCCCTTCCTGCCTTTCACCTGCTACTTGCCCCTGTATTGCCTGCTCCCCTTATTCCTGCCTTACTGTTCTCAGTCCCTTTCTCCCCCTTTCCGCCCTGCATAGTACTTCCTTCCTCAGCCATTCCCCATAGTACCAACTTCGCGTTCCTCCCAATGCCCCACCTACCCTGTGTTCAAACTGAATAACAACTACTACACTACTTCTACACCCCAGTTAGCACAGTTACAGAATATGATGCACTTACCATGATATTCAGTGACAGCGTTGCTCCTGCATGCCCTGCTTAACACGCCTCTCCCTAGGCGCCCGGCGACCTTGAGTGCTGCTGCTGGGAGGGCTGCTGCTGGGAGTGCTGCTGCTGGGAGTGCTGCTGCTGGGAGTGCTGCTGCTGGGAGGGCTGCTGCTGACAGTAACATGGCGACGAGCAGCTTCTGAATCCCGCTAAGTTCCCTCCTCAACCCTTGCCATCCTTACCGCCGCTTTACCTTGTAATTCGTGTTCACAATTGCCCAGCCTCTCTTTTCAAGCATGCTTCGAACCAAAACGCCGCCTTCGCATGAAGGTATTAAAAACGTTCGCGTGGCGATGGTAGCACATGGCACTGGGGCGGCTTGAGCTCACACTAGAGTCCTAGAGGGTTAGAATGCACTCACACTCACGCCCGCGTCTCGTCCCCCTTGCCTGCTAGCTCGCCAACCTAGTGCCATGAGCTACCATCGCCTACCCTTTCACTGTGCCACCTGATGTTCAACTTTCAGTCTTTTACTGTCACAGTATTGTGCCTCTGTTTTGTTTCAATCACGCCCATGATTATATTAGACTAACTTCTTCGATTCCTGTCCCCTTCTGCCTTATCTCCTCTCTACGAAACCTTCCCCCTCTCGCACATGGCTGTGGCAGCGTGGTGCGGGGTGTGGGATGACGCACGGCAGGCAGTCACAGCGGCGTGCGTGCCTCCTGCATGCCCTGCTGACCACGCCGCTCCCTCACGCGCCCAGCGACCTTGAGTGCTGCTGCTGGGAGTGCTGCTGCTGGGAGTGCTGCTGCTGACATTAACAAG